CCCCAGAGTCTCAGATGGAGCATGGCGCTATTGAATGGCCCTACTAACACCTTGCTTTTGGATTTCTGGCTCCAGAACTGTGAAAGAATAAATTTCTGTTGTTTTAAGCCACCTGATTTGTCATACTTTGTTAAAGTAGCCTTGTAGAATCTAATGAAAGTTGCTCAGTTGTGTCCAACTCTATGTAACCTCATGGACTATAGCCCGCCAGGCTCTTCTGTCCATGGGATTCTCCAGGCAGATACTAGAATGGGTTGCTATTTCCTACTTCAGGGGATCTTCTGAACCTAGGGATCGAACCCAGGTCTCCTGTATTGCAGGCAGATTCTTTACTGTCTGAGCTTGACAGAAGCCCTAAAATAGAAGTCTTAATACTAGAGTCATTGTAAGGTTGGTGGAGGAAAGTTGGAAATGGGCAGGAGATGATTCAAGGTTTCTTTTTGCCTTATCTCAAGTCATAAACTATGATCAGGAGTCCCTCACACTGGAGTTTAGTCAGAAATTAAGAAATCCACTCCAAAATTATTATATAATATATGGGAGGGAATTCAATTTCCCAAAGGTCAGTTTATAGCTAAAATTTTCAGAGTCCATCTGTTGTATAAAACAAGGTATATCTTGTTTTTATAAGGTCAATGTTCCTCCTAGGAATTGGATTGTGACTTTCTTGCCCAAAGCATTTCATTAAACTGTCTACCTGGTGTATGAGGAACAGTTATAAGCCAGAAAGCTCTCTAAGGTAGGAAATCTTACTGAAATAAGCAAGGACAAACTGGGGGAAGGAGGAAAAACAGTACTTTCTATTTGTCATTTCAAATTTAGGGAAATTTTAAAGCACTGGGCATTGAGACATATTTCAGAACAAGGATGTACATCTGTTCATAATATTTTTCAGGGATCAGGAGGAGAGTGCATATAAAACCTTAAAAATGTGTGTGAATAAATGTCTGTGTGAACATATGGAAGGGAATGCAATCCAGTTAAACACTTGCGGTGCTTGGCAGGAGCAAAGAGCCAGAATGCCTGCTCACTTAGTTCTTCCCACCCCCTCAGATGTGAGTCTCAGCAGGTGGGAGGATCCGGTGCAAGCTTCCTGAGGCCCGTGTAGGAAGGATAAATTACAGCCACAGCCACAGCGTTGTTTGAAGTGTTAGTCATTCAGTCATGTCTGACTCTTTGCGACTCCACGGTCTGTCCATAGAATTCTCCGGCAAGAATACTTGAGGGGGTTAGCCATTCCTTTCTCCAGGAAATCTTCCCGACCTAGGGATCGAACCCAGGTTTTCTGCATTGCAGGCAGATTCAGTTACTGTGAGTTGATTCCAGACCACCTTGATAAAGCGAATAATGCAAGAAAGCTTGTCACGTGAATTTTTTGGTTTCCCAGTGCATATAAAAGTTATGTTTACACTACACTGTAGTCCATTAAGTGTGCAATGGCATTATGTCTAAAAAATGTACATATAAAAAATACTTTATTGCTAAAAAAGGCTAACCATCATCTGAGGCTTCAATAAGTTGTATTACTTTTGCAATAGTAACATCAAAGGTCACTGATCACAGATCACCATAACAAATATAGTAATAGCGAAGAAGTTTGAAATGTTCTTCAGAACATAACATGTTCTGAATCACTTTCTGTACACCTGAAACTCACACACTGTGAATCAACTATACTTCAATAAAAATAGACATTTTAATTTGTACACTAAAATGTGACACAGAAACATAACATGAGCACATGTCATTGGAAAAATGGTGCCAAGAGACTTGGTGATGCAAGGTTGCCACAAGCTAGCTTGTTTAAAAAAAAAAAAAAAAAGCAGTATCTGTGAGGCACAATAAAGCAAAGTAGGCTCAGAGAAGAGTCACTCTTCACCATGTGCTTCCTATAGGCAGAATTTTACACATTTGTGGTAATTCACTTGATTTTATTTATCACCATTGTTTAGTACTTGTCCTCATCAGATTGTATGAGGTTCTTTTCATTCATTGTTCTTAGAACCTATAGAGTGCTTAATATACAGTAGGTATTTGATAAATATCATTGACTAACTCGAAGTCCAGTGTCCCCCTGCCTGAAAAATTGCTGCTTTATAGTTCATGCTCCAAAAAAAAACAGAAGGGGGATATGGTGAAGGAGACTTCAAAACATTTCCACAGATCTCTTATCTACAGAGAGCTCCATCATACTAAAAAAAAAAAAAAAAAGGAAGGGAGACAATTCAAAGGAAAATGGGCAAAGGACACAAAGAGGCAATTTACAAAAAAGATTCAAATAGCCAAGAAATATACTAAAAGATGCTCATCTAGAGTAGTAATCAAAGAAATGAAAATTTAAAACAATATACCCTTGAATTGGCAAACATGTATTTGATTAATAATATTCATTGTCAGCAAGCATTTAGGGAAAAGAGCTCTTGTACACTGTTGGTAGTTCAAACTGTGCAACCTATACAGAGTATATAGTTAGTACTTTAAAACTTGTACTTTAAACTGTGTCTATTTTTAAAGGGGAAAATTGGAAACCACATTGTGTTGTATGATAGGGAAATGGTTAAATAAATAATGGTACATTCCTGCTTTGGAATCCCTTAGCTCTAGATATTAACATCAATGAAAATCTATGCAAAATTTTTTAAAAAGAAGATTGTAAAACAATATGTAGAATATGATCCCAAATAAGTAAAACTATATTAAAAATATATTCTCCAAAGTAAAAGCCACAAAGAATTCACACCAATTATTTAAATAACTATAAATAATTTGAGAACTTTTTCCCTGAGAAAATGAATATGGAAATTTTACTTTTTACAACGAACATGTACTGCTATTTTTTAGAACATTATTGAAGTATGTTGATGTAAAGTGTACAAATTAAAATGTCTATTTTTATTGAAGTATAGTTGATTCACAGTGTGTGAGTTTCAGGTGTACAGAAAGTGATTCAGTTGTATCTTTTTCAGATTCTTTTCCATTTTTGGTTATTACAATATATTGAATATAGTCCTGTGTGCTATACAGTACATCCTTGTTGTTTTATATATAGCAGTGTGTATCTCTTGCCCCTCCTCCTTTCCATTTTGGGAAACATGAGTTTGTTTTCTATGTCTGTGAGTCTGTTTATTTTACAAACAAGTTCATTTGATTGTTTTTTAGATTCAGCACATAAGTGATATTGTATGATATTTGGCCTCCTCTGTCTGACTTATTTCACTTAGTATAATAATCTCTAGGTCCATCCATGTTGCTACAAATGGCATTATTTCATTCTTTTTTATGGCTCAGTAATACTCCATTGTATTATCCATATCTACAACATCTTCTTTATCCATTCATCTGTTAATGGACATTTAGGCTGCTTCCATGTTGAAGTGTCCAATTTTTGACACAGCATATATCTGTGATACCGTTGCCACAAGCAAGATAATGTCCACCACCTCCCCAAATATTCTTTATGTCCCTTTGCAATCTCTCCTTCTTGCCTCTTTCAAAAACAACCTGTCTCCTAGCAACCACTGATCTACTATGACTAGAGTTTGCATCTTCTAGAATGTTGTAGAAATGAAATCATACAGAATGTACTTTATTTCCTGGCTTCTTTCACTCAGCATAACTATTTTGAGATTCATCCATGTTGATGCAGGTATCAAGTTTGTTCTGTTTTTATTATCTACCACAACTGGTTTATCCATTTACTTGTTGATGGACCTTTGTATTATTTCCATTTCTCAGCAAATACAAATAAGGATGCCAGTACAAGTCTTTGTAATCACATGTGCTTTTCCTACTCTTGGATAAATAACTAGCAGTGGAATGGCATGAGGTAGATACATGTTTATCAGTTAAAGAACCTGCCAAAATATTTTCAGAATGGTTGTACCATTTTACAGTCCCACCAGAGATGGGAGTATGGGGTTGAGGTCGTAAGTAAGTGGATTCTTCACCATCATGAGACAAGGTAATGAGAACAACCAGCAGCTCACCAGTGTAGATTCAGAGATTGCCCAGCTAAAATGCAACTACTTCTTTCTAGTCACAGAGTCCTTTGAGAATTTGATTAAGGTTATGGTCTATGTGGGCTTCCCAGGTAGTGCTAGTGTTAAAGAATCTGCCTGCCAACGCCGGAGACATGAGAGACCCGAATTTGATCCCTTAGTCAGGAAGATCCCCTGGAGGAGGGCATGACAACCAACTCCAGTATTCTTGCCTGGAGAATCCCACGGACAGAGGAGCCTGGCAAGCTATGGTCCAAAGGGTCGCAAAGGGTCATTACTGAAGTGACTTAGCACCCCCATGGTCTATGCAGACTGCAGGACCACACAGGGGAGGGCTGGAGTTCCTTAAAAAATTGAAAAGTTACAACTGTTGGGACTTGGAAGGAGAGGGGAGAAAGAATGATGCCCCGGTTTTAGTGACTAGGCCATGGTGGAGACAACAGAGGGAGGAACCGCTCTGGCGGGAGCAAGCGGTCATTTCTGGCTCACTGCATGTGAGGTGCTTACGATCTTAGGAAAGTGGTTATAAAAGTATCTTGTCTGGGCGGAGATACAGACTTCCGGACAGTATGGAGATCAAACCAGTCAATCCTAAAGGAAATCAACCCTGAATATTCACCGGAGGACTGAGGGTGAAGCTCCAATCCTTTCGCCACCTGATGTAAAGATGCGACTGTTTGGAAAAGACCCTGATGCTGGGAAAGACTGCGGGCAGGAGAAACGAATGACAGTGGATGAGATGGTTGGACGGCATCACCCCACTCAATAGACATGAGTTTGAGCAAAGACCGGGAGATGGTGAAAGACAGGGAAGCCTGGCGTGCTGCAGTCTCTGGGGTCGCAAATAGACACGACTGAACGACTGAAAAACAACAGACTTCCAGGGCAACAACATACAGATTTAGGTGAGCAGGCGCAGCTGTAATCACCGGGTGCAGTCAGTAAGTTCGCATTTCGGAGGAATCGCCTCCACGCCTCAGAAAAACACACCTAGCTCCTTACCTGGGTCCACAAGTCCCCTCCCCGAAAATGCGCGATTGCGTCAACCTTTCTGACAAAACCTCCGCCCCGAGTCTGCGCAAGAGCTCGGCGCATGCGCACCAGGCTCCCCGCGGCCGCTCCCTGCTCCTGGCGCCCAGATTCCTAGCCTCTCAGCGGCCCCGCCCAGGCGGCTGCCCGTGACCTGCCACGGCGCGGGGAACGGAAAGCCGGCAGGGGCGAGACGAGTTCAGTTCGCCATGGGGCTGTTTGGAAAAACCCAGGAGAAGCCGCCCAAAGAGCTGGTAAGGGCAGCGGCGGCGGCACCGGAGTGGGTGCGTTTGTATGGGGGTGCGGTGGAGTTGGTAAACGACTGGACGCTCTTCCCCCGCGGTTGGCCAGGTGCCGCTCGGCCCCCATTTCCGGGGCCTCCCACTCGATCGAGGGGCCGGAGGAAGTCTTTAAGGAAGCGGCTGTGGGGAAAGAGAACCCCGGAGTCCCATTTCCACAAGGGGGCCGAGGGCCGGGTGAAGGGGTTCCGCGGTCTCGGCTAGGGGCGCGGAGGCAGCAGCGCCGGCGCGGCCTCTGGAACCCCTGCCCGGGCGCGCGTTGGTACGTCCCGCGCGGAACCTTTCGCTGGCGCAGGCCCCGCCCCCTCCCGGCCGCCTGCAGAAGGCTGGCGGACCGGCAGGGTCCCTAGCATCTTCTTCGGGAGCCCATCCCGAAGTCGGGAAGGTTCAGGCACCTGTCGTCCCTTCCCCACAGCCGCGCCTTATTGAGAGGGAGACTCGGGGTCTCTTTCTTCTGGCCTTTGGCATTGACAACCAGACGCACGATGATAGCAGGGACCCCTGCTAGTAACTACAGCTGGTGTAGAATTCTGAATCTCCCTGTCAACTTCCATCATCTCCCGATACAGTGGAGCGGTTAAGAGTGCTCTGCCGAGTCCGGAGCCTAAGTTCGTATCCTGGTTCCGCACATAATCAGCTTTGTGATCTAGGGAAAGTTCATTTCTGTGTGCCTTAGTCTTGTGTGTTGAGTAGGAATTACAGTAGTATCACTTAAGAGTTATAGAAGACGGAAGGACGTTAAGTTTTATTAGCTAGTAATGCTGCCGCTGCTGAGTCGCTTCAGTCGTGTCCGACTCTGTGCGACCCATAGACGGCAGCCCACCAGGCTCCTCTGTCCCTGGGGTTTTCCAGGCAAGAATACTGGAGTGGGTTGCCATTTCCTTCTCCAATGCATGCATGCATGCTAAGTCGCTTCAGTCGTGTCCGACTCTGTGCGACCCCATGGACAGCAGCCCACCAGGCTCCTCTGTCCACGGGATTCTCTAGGCAAGAACAGTGGAGTGGATTGCCATTTCCTTCTCCTAGCTAGTAGCGCTTGTTTTGGTAAATATGTTTGTTTTTGGCCGCCCCGTGCAGCTTGCGGGATCTCAGTTCCCTGACCAGGGATCAAACCAAGTCCGTGGCAGTGAAATCCGGAACCCTAATCACTGGACCACCAGGGACTCCCAGAGTAGATTCTTTGTATATTCTACATTAAGGGTCCCCAACCTCTGGAATTTAATGCTTGATCTGATGTAATAATAATAGAAATTAAATGCACAATACTTGTATTGCACTTCAGTTGTTCTGAAACCATCCCCATCCTCCTTCAGTGGAAAATTTATTTCCCACAAAAACAGTCCCTGGTACCAGAAAGACTGGAGACTGTTTTTCTACCTTACTTTCAAAGTGCAGACCAACAGCATCACCTGGCACCTTGTTAGAAATCTCAAGCCTCACCTGTTGAACCATAATTTGAATTCTGACAAGATCACTTGTGATAAGTGTGCATATTAAAATTTGAGAAGCATTACAGCACCCAGTACATACTTATATATAAGGAGAAAAAAACCCCAAAATCTTTCATTTAATAGGTGATCTCACCTGTTCAGCCATGTGTGTGTGTGTGTGAAAGTCGCTCTGACTTTTTGTAACTCAGACTTTTTGTCTGACTCTTTGTGACCCCATGGACTGTAGCCAGCCAGACTCCTTTGTCCATGGGATTTTCCAGGCAACAATACTGGAGTGGGTTGTCTTTCCCTTCTCCAGGAGGTCTTCCCTTCCCAGGGATCGAACGTCTCCTGGTCTCCTGCGTTGCAGGTAGATTCTTTACAGTTTGTGCCACCAGGGAATCCTGTTCAGCCCTAGCAGGCATATTTTAAACCATAGTCATGCATCAGGAGGTTGCTGGCACATACTGTGTGTGTTGTTGTTGATTGTATTCAGTAATCATAGATTATTGAATACAGTGTTGTTGTTCAGTTGCCGAGTTGTGTCCCACTCTTTGCAACCCCAAGGACTACACAGGCCTCCGTGTCCCTCACCATCTCCCGAAGTTTGCCCGAGTTCATGTCCATTGCATCGGTGATGCCATCCAGCCATCTCATCCTCTGATGCCCTCTTCTTCTGCCCTCAGTCTTTCCCAGCATCAGGGACTTTCCCAATGACTCGGCTGTTCACATCAGGTGAAAGACCCTGATGCTGGGAAAGATTGAAGGCAGGAGGATTAGGGGACCACAGAGGATGAGATGGTTGGATGGCATCACTGACTCAATGGACTTGAGTTTGGGTAAACTCTGGGAGTTGGTGATGGACAGGGAGGCCTGGCGTGCTGTAGTCCACGGGATCGCAAAGAGTTGGACACGACTGAGCAACTGAACGGAACTGACCAAAATACTGGAGCAGATACTAGACTGGAGTAAATACTAGAACAGTAAATATTAGTTTCCTCGGGCAACTTACTTAGCTTTACTCCCTGGTAAAGTAAAAATTGGGGTGCTTAAGTGAGGTAAGAGTATGACATTACTTTGCAAACTGAATAGCATAATATAATGAACATTTTGTGGCTTGTATGTATTCTAAGATGCTTGTTGTTGTAGAACTGAATTTTTGATGTTAGTAAAGATTATTATCTTCAATGTTTGGCCTTAGTTTTGCCGTTCATAAAATGAGAAGGTTCTGGGAAAATACTCTCATTACTATTTAAACTAGTGCAAGCTGTGCAGTCAGATTGATAACTCCTGATCAGAGTTGTGGCTGAATGATCTTGATTATTCCCATTTCTCTTACATAAGTTTTTCTTTCACAAAATCCCTTTCTATTTTGTAAGTTAATGAAAAAATTTTGATGGATTTAATGAACCTTTTTCTCAGACATTTAAAGACACATGTATAAAGTTTCTGTAGTTTTCTGGTGTTTCTGATGACTGAGATTTTTATGGCCCTTCTTCACAACAGATGTTTTATGCATTTAAATTCAACAGGTATTGAGCATTTCCTCTGTGTCAGACTTTGCACAAGGAGTTAGTGAATAAGAAAAGGTCTTTGACCTTCTGAAGCGTACAGTCTATAATATGTATGCACATTAGTATCACTGTATTAGTTATATATAATTATACTAGTTTAATATAATTAACATAATAATTACAAAAGAGACACAATGGACATGAGTTTGCGTAAACTCCAGGAGTTGGTGATGGACAGGGAGGCCTGGCGTGCTGCGGTCCATGGAGTCAGACACGACTGAGCGACTGAACTGAACTGTTAGGGTTCTGTCTAGTTATACTGCAGACGGGTTTTACTTACCCTAAGGATCACAGAAGGCCTCCCAAAGTAACAATTAAGCTGAGACTCAAAGACCAAATTCAGAAAATATATTCTTTAACTACTTTTCTGACTATTGTTAACATTTGGGGAAAGCAAGATTTTCTGGTACTTGTGTGAAATTGTTGTTCAGTTAGTTGCCACCTTATACATAGTTATTGAATTGTTCCAATTCATACTTCAATGCTTCTAATTATAGATATACTTTAAGTATAAACAAAGTAGGATTTATCATTTTAGGGTGTTAATAAAACAGAGATTGTGCTTAATCAGCATTATTGGGAAGATTTGAATTTAGGGCATTCCAAAACTAGTTACTGTCCATTGCAATAAAAAAAAAAATCTATTTGTTATATGATCAGTTGAGTATATTTGTGTGGGTCTAATTCTAGACTCTCTATTCTGTTCCATTGATCTGTGTGTCTATTCTTTAGACAACTGCTGTGTCTCGAACACTGTGCCAAGTTGCTCAGTCGTGTCTAACTCTTTGCAGCCCGATGTAGTATGGCCCACCAGGTTCCTCGGTCCTTGGGATTTTTCATGCAAGAATGCTGGAGTCGGTTGCCATTTCCTTCTCCAGGGGGTCTTCCGAACCCAGGGGTTGAACCTCCATCTCCTGCGTCTCCCGCATCGCAGGCAGATTCTTGACCTGTTGAGCCATCAGGGAAGCCCGCATACTGCAGCTTTATGTCGAGTCTTGAAATTGGGTAATAGGGCGTCTTCCGGCTTTGTCTCTCTCCACTTTTATCTTGGCTATGCCAGGGCATTTGCCTTTCCATATGAGCTTTTAGATCAGCTTGTTGATATCTACAAAATAGACTGGTGATTTGATTGAGATTGCATTGAATCTACAAATGAAGTTGGAAAGAACTGATATCTTAATGTTTAGTTTTCTGATACATGAACATGGACTAGCTCTCCATTTATTTATATATTTTTTTCTTTCATTAGTGTTCTGTAGGTTTCTACTGGTAGATCCTATACATATTGTTAGATTTATACCCAAGTGTTTTATTGTTTTCTATGGTGCTCTACTAAATGTTTTTAAACTTTCTGATAAAAAATAAATAAATAAAATAAAATTTCTGACCGCTTATTACTGGTGTATTTGAAAGCAGTTAACTTTTGTATATTAACCTTATGTCCTATGACCCCTCTGTATTTGCTTGTTAGTTCTTGGTGATTTTTTTTGGATATACATCCCAAAGAATCAACAGAAAATATCACTTTGTTTCATCCCAAATTTGTATACCTTTTATTTCCTTTTCTTATTGTACTAGCTAGGACTTCATTACACATTGAATAGGAGTACACAGAAATTATATCCTTGCCTTGTTCCTGATATTAGAGGGGAAGGCTTTTAATTTCTTGCCCTTGGTTATATTGATACCTATAGTTTGGGGTGGAGGAAGCTGCAGTTTTTTAAAAATTAACTTGAGGGATTTTCCTTTTATTCAGGTTTATAATTCAGTTTAGTCACTCAGTTGTG